CTGGGGGACACCTGGGGACACCTGGGATACACCTGGGGACACCTGGGATACACCTGGGATACACCTGGGGACAGCTGGGGACACAGCTGGGGGTACCTGAGGACACCTGGGGACACCTGGGATACACCTGGGGACAGCTGGGATACACCTGGGGACACCTGGGATACACCTGGGGACACCTGGGGACACCTGGGATACACCTGGGGACAGCTGGGGTACACCTGGGGACACACCTGGGGGTACCTGAGGACACCTGGGGACACCTGGGGGGGTCTGGGGACACACCTGGGATACACCTGGGGACACCTGGGGACAGCTGAGACATCACTGGGGGCTTCAGGGACAGAACCCGAGGGGGCGTGGCCCACTGGGGACACCTGTGACGTCACTGGGGACACTTGTGATGTCACCAGCGACAGCTGTGACGTCACCGGGGACACCGGTGGCGCTGCTGGGGACACCTGAGGTGTCCCTGATGCCCCCAAAAGTCCCCCCAAAATGTCCCCAAATGTCCCCAAAATGTCCCCAAATGTCCCAAAATGTCCACAAATGTCGCCAAAATGTCCCCAAATGTCCCAAAATGTCCCCAAATGTCCCCAAACGTCCCCGCTGTCCCCCCAGGGCTGAAGCGGGGGCTGTGCCTGCGCATCAACCACTTCCCTGAGGACCTGGAGTACGACCACGACAGCGCCGAGTACCTGCTGCGTGAGTTACCATGGCAACCGTGTCACTGTCACCGTGTCACCATGGCAACCGTGTACCTGTCACCATGGCAACCGTGTCACTGTCACCTTGTAACCACGGGAACCATTCCATTGTCACCGTGTAACCATGGCAACCGTGTACCTGTCACCATTGTAACAGTGTCGCTGTCATTGTGTAACCATGGCAACCACGTAATTGTCGCTGTATAACCATGAGAACGGTGTCATTGTCACCGTGTAACTATGGCAACCATGTCATTGTCACCGTGTAACCATGGGAACCGTTCCATTGTCAACACCACAGCTCCAAGTGCCTGCTGCGTGAGTTACCATGGCAACCGTGTACCTGTCACCGTCACCATGGGAACCATGTCACTGTATAACCATGAGAACGGTGTCATTGTCACCGTGTAACCATGGGAACCATTCCATTGTCACCACGACAGCGCTGAGTGCCTGGTGCGTGAGTTACCATGGCAACCGTGTCATTGTCACTCCGTAACCATGGGAACTGTGTCATTGTCAACATGACAGCGCCAAGCACCTCCTGCGTGAGTTACCATGGCAACCGTGTACCTGTCACCACTGTCACCATTGTAACCGTGTCATTGTCACCGTGTAACCATGGGAACCATTCCATTGTCACCATGACAGCGCCGAGCACCTCCTGCGTGAGTTACCATGGCAACCGTGTACCTGTCACCACTGTCACCATTGTAACCGTGTCATTGTCACCGTGTAACCATGGGAACCATTCCATTGTCACCACCACAGCCCCGAGTGCCTGCTGCGTGAGTTACCATGGCAACCGTGTCACTGTCACTCCGTAACCATGGGAACCGTGTCATTGTCACCATGGCCACCATGTCATTGTCACTCCGTAACCATGGGAACCCTGTCACTGTCGCCATGATGACCATGGTGGGCGCACCGTTGTCACCCCCCCCATCACCACGGGAACGGTGTCGCCAACACCCCCCGTCTCCATGGCAACCGACTCTCCATCTCCCCCCTCCTGTCTCACCCTGCCGGCGTTGCCACGGCGACGCTCCCGGCATCCTCCCGGAGCCTGGCCGGGCGTTTCCATGGCAACCGCTCTGCCGCTTCCAGCCTTGTCTCCATGGAAACGCCCTCGGCATCCTCCCGGCGCCGCCGTTGCCGTGGAAACGCCCCCGTGACCGCCCTGGCTATCGTCCCGGCCGTTTCCATGGCAACCGCACCCTGCTCCCTGATTGGTTCCCAGTCCCTGAGCTCTGATTGGCTGGAGGTGGTGGATCCCTCCTCACTCCTGGTCTCTGATTGGTTGGAGGGATTGGCTCCCACTCCCTGATTGGTTCCCAGTACTCGAGCTCTGATTGGCTGGAGGTGGCAGATCCCAGCCCCCAACGCCGCTCCCTGATTGGTCAGAACTCCCTCCTCACCCCTCAAATGCCGCTCCCTGATTGGCTCCCAGCTCCCGGGCTCTGATTGGCCAGAGGTAGCGGATCCCAGCCTCCAACGCTGTTCCCTGATTGGTCAGAACTCCCTCCTCCCCCCTTCCAACCCTGCTCCCTGATTGGTTCCCAGCTCCCGGGCTCTGATTGGCCAGAGGTAGCGGATCCCAGCCTCCAACGCTGTTCCCTGATTGGTCAGAACTCCCTCCTCCCCCTTCCAACGCTGCTCCCTGATTGGTTCCTGCTCCCTGCTCTCCCATTGGCTGGAGATAACAGACCCAGCCCCCAATGCTGCTCCCTGATTGGTTCCCAGCCCCGGGCTCTGATTGGCTGGAGGTGGCAGATCCCAACCTCCAACGCCGCTCCCTGATTGGCTCCCGCTCCCTGCTCTCCCACTGGCCGCTCTCAGCCCCTGCCGCGCTCTGATTGGCCGCTTTTGTCTCGGTAGGCGTGGTCCGGGCCTCCAGCATTTTCCCCATCCTGAGCGCGGTGCTGCTGCTGCTGGGGGGGCTCTGCGTGGCCGCGTCGCGCCTGCAGCGCGCCAGGACCAGCCTCGTGCTCGGAGCCGGCATCCTCTTCGTGGCCGCTGGTACGTGGGGGGACAAAAACCCCAAAAAAACCCCCAAATCCAACCCAAAAACCCCCAAATCCATCCCAAAAAACCCCAAAATCCAGCCCAAAATCCATCCCTGAATCCTCTTCGTGGCTGCTGGTACGTGGGGGGACAAAAACCCCAAAAAAACCCCAAAATCCAACCCAAAAACCCCCAAATCCATCCCAAAATCCATCCCTGAATCCCCCTAATCCATCCCCAAAATCCCTGAATCCACCCCTGAATCCTCTTTGTGGCCGCTGCTACGTTGGGGGACAAAAACCCCCCAAAACCCCCAAATTCATCCCAAAAAAACCCAAAATCCATCCCCAAAATCCCTGAATCCACCCCTGAATCCACCCCCGAATCCTCTTTGTGGCCGCTGGTACGTGGGGGGACAAAAACCCCAAAAAACCCCAAAATCCAACCCAAAACCCCCCAAATCCATCCCAAAAAACCCCAAAATCCAGCCCAAAATCCATCCCTGAATCCTCTTCGTGGCTGCTGCTACGTGGGGGGGGTAAAAACCCCAAAATCCAACCCAAAAACCCCAAAATCCATCCCAAAAAACCCCAAAATCCAGCCCAAAATCCATCCCTGAATCCTCTTCGTGGCTGCTGCTACGTGGGGGGACAAAAAACCCAAAAAACCCCCCAAATCCAACCCAAAAACCCCCAAATCCAGCCCAAAATCCATCCCTGAATCCTCAAAATCCAGCCCAAAATTCATCCCTGAATCCATCCCTGAATCCTCTTCGTGGCTGCTGCTACGTGGAGGGACAAAAACCCCAAAAAACCCCCAAATTCATCCCCAAAAACCCCAAAATCCATCCCAAAAACCCCCAAATCCAGCCCTGAATCCATCCCCAATCCCCACTTTTTTGCCCATTCATTTCTTTTTATTCTCCCCAATTTTATCCCGTTTTTCCCCAATTTTTTCCCTTTATTTCCCCATTTTTCCCCCCAATTTTTTTTATAATCCTCCCCATTTTTTCCTTTATTTCCCCCATTTTTTCCCCCAATTTTTTCCCTTTATTTCCCTCATTTTTTCCCCCAAATTTTTCCCTTTTCCCCCCAATTTTTTTATATTTTCCCAAATTTTTTCCATTTATTTCCCCATTTTCCCCCCAATTTTCTCCCCAATTTTTTTTGATACTTTCCCCAATTTTTTCCCTTT